ACTTACAGAGAGCGGTTTTAGGACAGCCCCCAGATGTATGCACGTGTATTCAGGCAGTCGTTCTTACTCACACGAAGCTCGTTATGCTAAAGAGGGTAGGACACATTGCATGCCATGTTTCGCGAGAAGAATATCTGTGTGTTTCGACCATTCTCGCGAAATCATGTTCATCTGGCTCCTTGACATCAGTGGTTGATGGCAGCTTGCAGCTCGCTATGGGGTCTGCCATGCTTTACTGCCTTGTTCGGGTTGTGGGCTGGCACGCCGATTCCGCCGATTCCTGTTGTTGTCTTGAAATTTGCCGCGCCCTGTCTTGAAGGGCATGGCTTCCCGATTCTTGAAAATCCAATTCATGTTTGGCTTTGCTATTCCGAAACGTTTCGGTCCGAGATCGTGGATCATGGCGTGATGTCTCCATGTGGCCGCACATGGATTGACAGCCTTGCTGTTTACAAGATTCAAGCCGTCACATGCCGCATTACTTTGCAGCAGAATACATCTTGATACCAGTGACTACATGCCTATCTAAATCCGTGCATACATGTAAGTATCTTGGCTGAACCAACCAAGCCCACAGACGCGTGAATACATCTACAGGTAGCCACAAGTCAAAGCAAACCTGGTCGTAAGTTAGAGCTACCCCTAAACCCAAACCCTGAACCCTTTAAACCCTAAACCCTAAACCCTAATACCCACTGCGCGGAAGGAAGATGGTTTTGGCAACCCACGGGAGTGGCACTGTTCCCTAACCTAAAGTACCCGTATATAGACTACTTTACCCATAGGCCCCATAGTAGTTCCTTTCCGGGACTACCTCATAGGATTCTATATATGAACCCCAAAAAGGAACTACTATGGGGCCTCTGGGTATAGACTACTTCACGGCCAAAGTATATACCGATGAGTTCATAGCGTGGGTTCTTCGTTCGTGTCGGCAAGGTTGGCCACCACCGATGGGCATGCAATGAACATAGCCGGGTTAAAACTAGTTTGTCCGAGTGGGTGTGTGAAAGCTGCTGAACGATGGGTCAAAACGAAGGTGACCCAACACCCAATCTGACTGCCACTTTATCAAACTAAATTTCTATGTATGCATCTATCTGATTATCTGACTGACTCCCCATGCACTGATAGACCCATCTGATTGAAAGAATACGCCATGCATCATGCAAGAGCCCTTCGGTTTAGGGTTTACCCATAGGCCCCATAGTAGTTCCTTTTTGGGGGTTCATATTTAGAATCCTATAAGGTCATCCCAAAAAGGAACTACTATGGGGCCTCTGGGTAGGGTGTAGGGTTGGATCTTGAGGCCTGGTTTGGGGTTCTGGAGATTTCGAGCTTTGGATTTGCAGGGTTTAGCATGTTGAGGTAAAGGGCATAGACAGCAAGGCCTCAGGGTTGAAACTTTAAGTCGGCTTAAGGTGCACCCATAGGCCCCATAGTAGTTCCTTTCTGGGGTTACCTTATAGGATTCTAAATTTGAGCCCCAAAAAGGAACTACTATGGGGCCTATGGGCAAGGGTTTAGGGTTTAGGGTTTAGGGTTTAAGGATCCGGAGCACGAAGATGCCTAGGTTTGGAGGTTATACTGTGCGGTTCAGAGTAGGAGGTTTGGGGGTTCACAGGTTTAGGGGTCCTTTCGAGTGCCTTGTTAGGTTTGTGGGTAGAGGCTTGGAGGAAAGCTCGCCTTTTCGCAGCTGCTGAAACTCAGCTGAACCCTTAAAACCCTTCCCAAACCGTAGACACCCTTTCAAACCGTAGAACCGGGTATAGCTATATAGGGACCATAGGGGGATGGTGCTGCTTCGACCCAGACCTTCCAAAATCCTGCAACTAAGTATTATGCCTTAAATCATGTTGGGGAGCCTACTATAATTCAGCATCTCTAAACCCTAAACCCTAAACCCCTGGAAGGTCTGGCTACATTCCGAGATCTTGCCGCGCTGCCTTCGCTCCCCCCCAAAGAGTTCCTTCGCCTTTTCAATTTCTTCCTCCTGAATCTGCGAGACTTCGCGTCAGGGTTTGGGGCTTAGGGCTTCTCTAATGTAGGGGCCTTTATAATTGGAATAGGGTTTTGGTTGTTCCTTGCGCTTATGGTATAATATCCCCACCCCCAAAAAAAACCTACTCTAATTATTCACGCCCCTATATTGGAGGCCTGGCTCGGAGATTGGAGTCTTTTGGGGGTGTTACAGGCATGGAAGCTTCCGTCCTGGTGTTAGGGCCTGGAGTTGGCAGTAAGGGTGTAGACTGATGAAAAGGTTCAAGGGATGCAATTTCCAAATCAAGTAAGCAGTCCCTAATCTAGAAACCCTACATTCTACCATACATAGAGGTACTTTGGAGCAGGATTTGGGCGGTTTAGGGTGCTGAACCTCAGGGCCAAAAACCAACCACCGACACACCCTAAACCCTAAACCCTAAACCCTAAACCCTAAACCCTAAACCCTAAACCCTTGCTTCGAAAGGCTGCAGGGGCTCTGAGAAG